ATCATGAGTTAAATATGTACAAATGGAATTATAAAGGAATACAGTTAGAGAGAAGTGGGAACCAAATATAAAAATAAATCTTAAGCCAGGCACTGTGGCATGAACCTGTAGTGTCAGCTATTCGAAAGGCTGAGCCAGGAGGACCACTTGAGGCCAGGAGTTCAAGACTAGCCTGGGTAACATAGGAAGATCCCTTCCTCTTAAAAAAATTAAGCTTTTATTTCCTGAAATTTTGGGGAGCAAATGAGCTACTTAAAACCATCACCCTAGTCAACCAAGATTAATTCTAGGTCAGTCATGAACTTCTTACACATCCTCAATCTTGAAATTATCAAATAATAAAATAATCCAAAATTATTAAGTAATCTGACTTTGAGCAAAGTATTGCAAATACTACAGTTTATCTGAGTTATTTGTATGAGGTTATTTAGTCATCATTCACAGTATGTCACTCACTGTACTGTCTTAGATACAATAATTACATGAAGATGGTCTCTGGCCTGAAGGAATTCAGACTCTAGAGGAGAAGACCAATATGTAAATAACTAAGTGAATAAACTTTTATATTTCAAATAATAGAAGTATTAATACATAAAGGATCAAGTATACCCAGAGACCAAGAAACAGCTTCTAAAGGAAATAAGTTTTAAATGGAGAATAAGTGTTCAACAAATAGACCACAGGAAAATGACATTCCAAGCAGAGTAAAGAGAATGAATGAAAGCAAAGAGGCATGCCATAACATGATACTGTCAAGAATCCTCCAGTAATTCCACATGACTACACCGTAAAATATAAGGAAGATTATAATAAGAGATGATAGAAGAGGGAAGCAAAATGCAGCTCAGGAAAAGCCACATTAAGAAGTTTGTACCTTGTCATGTAGTTATTTGGAAGTGATTGAAGGGTTTTTAATTGACAAATAACAATCACATGTTAAAAAGATTTATCTGGTAGCAATACTGAGGAATAACTGAAGAGGTATAAACCAAGATAAGGGAGTCCAGGCCAAATCCAGACTGAACTGCACTCAGAGCAGAGAGGATGGAAGGGGGAGACTTATCAGTGACATTAAAGGAGAATCAGTTGGTCTTTGTCATTACATATGACCTTAGTTCAGACCTGGTTTTCCCACCTACTAGTTGTGTGGCCTTAAATAATATATATAACTCTCAACTCAAATTTCTCCTTGATTCTAAAATGAAAACAATAATAGTTTCAACTCATAGAGTTGTTGTGAGGATTTGATGAGTTAATGAAATATGTTAAATGCCTATCATAGTATCAGACAAGTATTTTTATTGTCATTATCTTCAAGAGAATGAGGAAAAATTAGTCTCAGCTTTTTCATTTTGTTACCTAGTGATAAGTGTATACTTACGGAGAGAAAATTAAAACAGCAAGTTCTGGACATGTTAAGTACCTGACATGTATTAGGTCCTCAATAAAAATGCATTGAGTGAATAAATAAGTTAATGTGTGAAATGTCAATGGGGCAAGTGGAAGGAAATTTCTGCTTACATGTATCAGGAATTTAAGAGGCAGCCAGAAACTACAACTATAGATCTGAGAGTTATTAGTGTTCATATATTCTTTGAAACTATTAATATATAGATTGACTTCAATCAAATGAAGCATATGTATGCTATGGAGGACAGATGAGAAAAAAAGGAAGAATAAGAAATAGAAACATTTTTAAGACCAGACAGGAGGGGAGCCATAAAAAGCATTCTGAGACAATAGAGTGTTATTTCCCATTTGCCATATTTATTGTTTGACAAAGGAAACTTGTTTGTAACTTGTGATATTTATCTCAAATCACAAGACTTTTTGTGAACATTATCATAGCCTACACATAATAGTACATGCCAAGATTAAAAGGGGGAGAAGAAAGACAATAAAACCTAAAGGATATGAAGAAACCTCTTTTTTCCATTTCCCTTAGTGGAATTTTCATGAAAACATTTCTTCATGAAGAAGTTCTGGGAGGATATAAATATAATTGACATATATAGGTAAGAGGTAAAGGAGGGAAATATTTCTCCCATTAAAAAAAATTGGAAAGGAGATACTGGCTAATGCAAATGCTGAGTACCAATCAGTAGTTTCAAGGGCTTCAGGACATTTTCTACTTACATGGTTATTTCATTAATTCCTAATAGTCATATGCTCTTTAAACACTATATCCCATAAATAGTATTACTTTCAAATATGTTTTTTTCAACCATAACAGAATAAATAATGAAGAGAAAATGACTGTATATTGACTAACCCTTGCTTGGTCTGTAAAGAAAGACTTTCAGTCTGCTCATGGACTAAATGCCCTCCATAAAGTGTGTGTGTGTGTGTGTGAGAGAGAGAGAGAGAGAGAGAAGGAGAGAGCACACCTGAGAGTGAGAGAGCAAGAGCCCACATCCCCAAGACAGCGCCCACCCACACACTGCAAAAAATAATTAAATAATAACAATAATTTGCAACATTCTTCCTCAGGCAAAACTTATACAATATTGAATGATCCTCATTATTATTTCTTTTTCTTCCCAATTTGTATCAAACTTATGTCTAATGTAGGCTCTGCCTAATGGCAAGGTTAATGTGGAAAAATTGCACTAGCTACAGCCTAGCTCCAGGCAACAGAGTTTTAAGAACAATTCTTTTTGCTTAGGAGCTGCTAGGAAATCTCCAAAGATGTTATACAATGTTCTTCCGGAGCAAAGAACATGAATTGTATAATCTAAATATAAACATCTCTTTTTAAATATACGTATTGAAAACAAATGGCAGAGAAGAAAATATGTTTTTTAATAAAACAAAAGTTACTATTAATCTTAACTTCCCCTCTCATGTTATTATGATTTTTCTGGGTTTTTTAAACGTATGGTTCTTTATGTTGGCCATATATTAAGGGATTATTTTTTCCATCTCATACTGTAATATTATTTACATATAGAGCAGCCTCTCTATTTTTCCAATTTCTTCTTGTAACCCAGCTACCACCATATAAAGTGAAGCTTATACCTTTGTATGGGAGAGTCCCCATACCAAGCATGCTGTTATTCCTTGTTTGATAGATGTGGCGGTATATCTACTCTTTAAGCAATCATGTGTAGTACTGAATTCAGGTAAAATATACATGCTTTTCCCCTAATATATAAAACTTAAATTGAGCATAGCCCAAGGCTGTTTATACTAAGAGTCTTCTCAACCTAAGCTGAATAAATTCTCTTCCAGTGCTTTTTATCCAGTGCTCAGTTTGGATACCATGACTCTAACTTCCTAATTGCTGTAAAATAATTTTCTTCCTCTTAGCTAAGGCTGGTAATGTGGCTCTAAAAAAATGATCTCCAAAATGTAATTTGCTATGGAAGGGTCCAGTCTGAGAATAATTTTGCATATTATAAATGAATCTAATAGAATTCACACTAGCATCTCTACCTTTTGCCAGGAAGTAAAAAGGCAATAATATGCCTAAGCTTAAAATGTCTAAAATTAACCTTTCTTTCTAGTTTTTATTCTTCCATCTTCATTTATTTCCAGTAAACAGTCATTGTTCAAGATTTCAAACCCATAATTATTTCTCTTTACCTTTAGACAAATATACAAATTTCAGTTTTGCTGGGTATGTTATGGGTAGGGTGTATTTTGAGATGGAAGATAGTAAAAAAATATGTTTCCCTTTTTAGTGCCTGCTTCATTCTTCAAGAAGTAATTTCAAAATCTTCTTATACACTTTTTAGTTATTTAAATAATCAAAGCAAACCTAACACCTGATATCCTTAAAATTTAAAATATAAAAATAAGTAACTAGAATTCTTCTTAAATAATTACTATTAAAACTAGCTAGTCATTCTAGTGTTCATTCTAAACTCATTTCCTTATCTAGATTAAAGTCAAGGTAAGAAATAAAGCTACCTTGATAAAAATCACCCCAAGATTTTAAAATACCAACTACAGATGTAAATGCCAGTCATAGCTAAGTAAAGTTGCAAGTGTCTTAAGTTAAAGATAGAATATGAAAAATAACTCAAATTTTTCAAAAATATAGTAAGAATCAGCTTTTCAATTGTAAAAGGACATGGTTTCTGTATGTAGCTGGAGACAGAGAAATTATTAGGAGAGCTTATTTTTACAGTAGTGGACATTTTCCATGGTCATGATGTTTTAACTCCAGCTAAGCCACTCTCCCTCTTCTTTCTATCAAGAATACTTATTTATGACTTGGCTGCAAAATTGAAGAATACAGTTTATTGTGGTTCTGGAAATTTTTTCCAGCAAGACTGCTCACTTTTGTCCTCAAAAATATCCTCAATATATGGAACTACAGGCCAGTCTGCCTATTGCTTCCTAATCCCAGTTCAATTTATGAATGAGGCACTGATTCATAAATGGAACAGAGTATATACAAGGTAACAGAGTCTTTGAGTACTTAATGGTGGCTGAATTACCAAAAAACCTTCCCAAAATACAAGCATGACTGAAAAAGAGGAAGCCTGATGCACCCAGGAGAGGTGTAAAGGAGACAGTTGTGGCAGTAAAGAGGCCAGGAGAAACATTAGAGAAAAGAAAGAAGGAAGGTGAAAAGTGCAGTCAAGTTATAACCACTAAATATCTGAATTGGAAAACTGCTCAAAATAAAGCGAGAAGTATAAAAATTAGGGCCAGAAATTGTATATACAGCATGACCCCAATTTTGTAATACAATGTGTAATTTCTGGAAGAAAAATACCGAATATTAACAGGATTTGGGGTTTTCCCTAGATTAAACTTTTTTTTAACTTTTTCATTCTACCTTTCTGTATTTTTTAACACAAATTGTGCCTTGTGAAACGGAGTACACATTTCATGAAAATGTGGCTCCTTAATTAGCTGTAGCCAATATAATGTGGAGTTCAATTCCCACACTCAGTGGAGTTAGGGATGAAAAATAAGCCTGTCGATGAAGGTTACTCCTTTTCTTCCTGTTTTAAGACACACACCGCCAGGTTACAGAAGTAACTTACTGGGTAATAGTGGCCACTTCGATGCCGGCTGACTGACCAGGAGGATCAGCACGCGGCGCACTCCTCTCTAGAGCCTCCTCCCCAGCACTCGGCCCGTCGTCTCCGGTATTGGTCTCTGTCCTCAGAAACCCACCAGGATCGTGCAAAATTCACCCAGCTTTTGGGCCCAACCAGGGTCCCCAAGCTGCAACGGGCGATTTCTGGGATGTCCTGTATCCGGTCCGGTCGGTGGCTAGTCAGGAGCTGACCCCACACCACAGCCCCCAGGATCCACTGCGCGCGCCTCAGGCGGAGCCGGAGTTTCCCGCCTCGCACCTCTGCGGCGACGCCCCCACCACGCGCCTGCGCAGCACCACTGTCCTCGCCTCTCTCAGGGTGCCTGACCGGCGACGCGCCAAGTCCGGCAGCAGCTCTAAGTTCCTTCAAGGTACAGTGACTAAGCTTCTGGCTTCCCATCCCCAATGTCAGGTTTTCCCCTGGAGTGAGGCTCCAAATTCCTCCACCTCACCGCCGAGTTTGCCCTGCTGCGGGAAGAAGCCTCGCCGTGCTTGTCTGACCATTCGCTTCCTCAGCCCCTGCCAGACTTCGTGTGTTCTGGGCCTTACTTAGGTTTCCTTTCCATCTATCTTCCTCTTCCTGAGGCAGTCATTCTCCCCTTCTCGGGAACCATCATGGTGGAATGGCTGTTAGGAAACAGTAATTTCAGGAGGGTTGGAAAAAACAGGAGTTTAATATTGCCAAGATACCCCGCCATACATTTTCTACTTCTATAATCTTTTCCTCAAAATACTTCTAGAGGGTAATGAAGGAAGTCCTGAGGTAATTCTGAAAGTCATTGACATCCAGGTAATTCTCCATTGTTGCCCACAAGATAACTTTTCTGGAAACATCTTCCATAGGATTTCCAGAGAACACGTCGCCAACCGCGCACGATGAAGACCTGTGTAGACCCGACCACGTATAAGATGTGCTCCGCCTGTCTTATATATCGGTGGTCAATAATGTTAGCTACTATTACTTTGCTGTGGAAAGGAAGCGAAAAGGGATTTGATCAGAGTGCCAGAATAGGAAAAGAATTGATGTGTAAAGTAGTGAGTCCCATGTGCACATGGGACCATTAAAAGCTAAGCTGGCCACTAATACCACCGGCAGGTTCAAGTGCTACACCAGTCCAGGAGACAAAGTACACACACAAACCCCCCTTTAATTTCGCTTTCCATAAAGTATACTATAATACTGATACTGAGAGACTTATTAAAAATATTCTGCCTTACAGGGAAAGGAATGAACCCTTCATATACAGAAACATGATTTGAACTCAAGATATTTAATATATATGGTAAGACGCTATATTGCAAGATTTGGCTATTTTTAGAAAATGTCACTCTAAAATTTTTTTTTAATGTGTACACAGTTGGAGATATGAGCCCTGCAGCTTGTTAGACAAATCATTGAAAAAAAGAAAGGAGGAGGAGAAGGAAAGGGAATTAAAGAATCTAGCCAACATAAACTATAAATTCAGGGGTTGAGAGGGATGGGGAGGACATGGGGTAGTTGAACTGTTGAGGAAGCTGAGCTTGGTTAGTAAATAAGGAAATCAATCTATTTGGACAACTGTTACTTTTTTCTTAGAGATGAGGTTTTGCTGTGTTGCCCAGGCTGGACTTGAACTCCTGAGCTTAAGGGATCCTCCCACCTCTGACTCCAGAATAGCTGGGACTGCAGTAATTTTCGATAGATTAGCTTCCAGATAGGAGTAGTAGTAGAAATTAAGAGTCTGTCTTTTTATTTATTTTTTTTTTAAGGAAAGAACTCAACATCTGGTTGTTAAAAACTTTACGAGACTCCTCCTCATTTAAACCAGCTCCATTTAAAAAGGCCAGAACAAACTCAATGATTTGTGCATTTTTTCCCTGAACAACCTATTAAAAATGACAAATATATAAAAGAGAAAATTTGTTAAATTATTTGCAAGTTTATCAAATTAAAACCAACAACTAACACTTCAGATGTTCTTGGGTTTTTATGTTGTATAAATGGAAATCATAGTTTAAATTGTTAATAAGGATGCTAGCTGGTACATTACTCAATATGCAGTCCTTCAGGAACATGATTTTGAAAGGTAAATCCCGCTAACCCGTTTTGCTAACTTGATCTCAGGCTTAGCAGTCAAGCGGGAAATCTGGAGGCAAGAAGAGCTTTCTCTTTAGCACAATATTTAAAGGAGTAAAAATAAGGATGCCATTGAAGCAATTTCAGGTAAATTCTAAAATACCTACTAAAGACACAGGTCACTTTGTGGGAGAAAATGCTTATGTAATGATTAACAATGCTTTAAAATTACAATAATGTAAATGTATATATCATAAATATTAGTTGATGGCATGTGTTGACTCAAGTCATGCTCACAGGTACAACTGTAAAATAAAATATTCCACAGGGGAAAAACAATGAGAAATTACAAGTTCAGAACACTGTCTTGTACTGAAAGGAAGGTAGATCAAAACATACCATTTTCATTTAACAGCTCCTAAAACTTGGATTTTTCTGCAACCAAAAATGGTAACCTCCTGATAAGCTCATACACAATTAGTCTCTATGCACTTCTCAGATGCTTCATATTTGACTATACTTTTCTGGATGTCAGAGATAAAAATCTCACTAAAACACAAAATACCCTTTGGAGCAGAATTTCTTTTCCAGACAATACAACTTGAAAACTTGAAGTCACAGTGCCCTCTAGTGACCCATTGATAAGACCCACTTTTATTTCACTTTCACAGGACAATAAAGTTTAAGTGAATGTTTTACATTTTCAGGGAGTTTTTTTCCTATAACTATTTATTAAAACCACTTTCTGTTTCTGAGGGTAAAAATGTATAAGTTGCAATCAATTAACCACATAGCACACTGGAGAATGACTCCTTTATTGGTCCATTGCTGCCGTGGATACATTGTATTTAGAGGGTAAAAAAGGTCTTACGTCCAATCAGTCCTGCAAACAAGGTGCATTAAAATATACAAATGTATAACATTCTTAATATGAAACTGTAATAAAGACAAGTTTGTGGAGTTATGTTTCTTATTCTAGTCCCAAATCTGTTAATGCCTAGAGACCTGTGCCAAGGAACTTGATTTCACTGCGCCTCACATTCTTCATTTTAAAATGAAAAAAGATTGACAGTGTTGGTAACAATGTAGGGAAATGGACTCTTAACATTTCTGATAGGAAGACTGATGCTATAGCTTGTCTTTTTTTTTAATTTTTAATTTTTTTTTTCAGAATATGGGGGTACAAACATTTTAGTTACATGTTATAACGTTGCCTCATGCCAGATTTAGAGGCATGCCCTTCCCCCATACAATGCTCACTGCATCCATTAGTTGTGTTTATCCACCTGCACTCTCCCAACGACCAATGAATATTACTACCATGTAAGCACCTTAGTGTTGATGACGAGTACATGTGAAGCTTATTTTTCCATTCTTGTGATACCTCACTTCGGAGAATGGGCTCAAGCTCTATCCAGGATAATATAAGAGGTGCTAGATCACCATTGTTTTTTGTAATTGAATAGGATTCCATTGTATACATATACGATATTTTATTAATCCACTCATGGATTGACAGGCACTTGGGTTGTTTCCACATCCTTGCAATAGTGAATTGTGCTGCCATAAACATTTGCGTACAAATGTCTTTATTATAGAATGTCTTTTGTTCCTTTGGGTAGATGCCTAATAGTGCTATTGCTGGATCAAATGGTATTTCTATTTTTAGCTCTTTGAGGTATCTCCAAATTCTTTACCACAGAGGTTGTGCTAATTTGCAGTCCCACCAGCAGAGTAAGAGTGTTCTTTTCTCTCCACATCCTTGCTAGCATTTGTTGTTTTGGGAATTTTTGATAAAGGCCATTCTCACTGGCATTAGTGATATCTCATTGTGGTTTTGATTGCATTTCCCTAATGATTAGAGATGTTGAGCATTTTTTTATGTGTTTGCTGGCCATTCTGTCTTCTTTTGAAAAGTTTCTGTTCATGTTCTTTGCCCATTTATTGATGGGATTGTTTAATTTTTTTCTTGTTGATTTTTTTGAGTTCTACATAGATTCTTGTTATCAGCCCTTTATCAGATGTGTAGAAAGCAAATATTTTCTCCCATTCTGTAGGCTGTCTATTTGCTCTAATGATAGTTTCCTTGGCTGTGCAGAAGCTTTTTAATTTGATCAGGTCCAATTTATTTATTTTTGTTGCTGCTGCGATTGCTTTGGGGGTCTTCTTCATAAATTCTTTGTGTAGGCTGATGTCTGAAAGAGTCTTCCCTACATTTTCTTCTAGGATTTTTAAGGTTTCATGCCTTAGGTTTAAGTCTGTTATCCATCACAAATTGATTTTTGTAATAAGTGAGAGGTGGGGATCCAGTTTCTATCTTCTGCATGTATTTATCTAGTTTTCCCTGCACCATTTATTGAAAAGAGATTCTTTTTCCCAGTATATTTTCTGTCTGCTTTGTCAAAGATTAGATGACAATATGCAGATGGTTTCATTTTGGGGTTATGTACATTGCTTTAGTGCCAGAATAATAATGGCCAACATTTAACACTTATTCTGTCCTGTAATTGTTCTAAGTGCTTTATATATATTAACTCATTTAATCCTCACAACAATCCCAGGAGAGAGATCCTAAAATTAACCCCATTTTACATATGAAGAAACCAAGGCACTAAACTTTGCCTAAGTTTACACAATAATTGGTAAAACCTACATACAAACCCAGGGCGTATGGCTCAAGTCCATGCCCCTAAGCATCTTGCTAGACTTCCAGAAACTCATCTTCTGTTAAGAATTTACCTTAAGGAAATAGTCAAAGGTGTGCACAAAGAATTTTTAATCAAGATATTAATTTCGGCATCATTTAGAAGAGGGGAAAAAAGAGAAAATAATCTAAATGAGTAACAATTGGGAACTCATTAGGATAATTATGTTAAAGCCAAACCATTGACTCAGTAACCTTGAAAAATATCAAATGACATGGAAAATGTTCCTATATATTATGTGAAAATAGTTTATAAACACACTTATGTGTATGTACATATATGTACAGTGTGCTATCATTTTTAAGATATATATTTTTAAGAGAAAGGAAGTCAAATTACCAAAGCATGAGTATAGTTATGTCTAGGTGATAAGAGTAGGAAGTAACAATTTTTATTTTCTTCTTTATTTTTACATCGATTTTCAAAATCTCATGTAAGTCTAAAAATATTTGTTTTTAATGAAGGGTTTAGTCCAAATATGCTCTAAGATGCTTTCTAGCTCTAAATATCTAACATGATAGAGAATAGCCATGGAATTTTAGAACTACAGGGGGTGGGAGAGAACTTATCCTCTCTCCAGTAGTTCCTAAACTGGCTTGGTCCTCAGAATCACCTGGGGAAATCAGAGTATAAATTCCCAGCTTCACCCCTTCCACAATCCAGAGCTCCAGAGAACGAGGCCCAGGTGTTTCTTATGATCTGACAGTCAGGGAACTATTAATTTACTTCTATTGCATCATTTTAGTCCTTTGACTAGCATGTAAAAACAGTACTCTCGAAAACCAGATGCAGACCAGGGCCATCATCTACTGTGGGCTTTTATAAGAAATCCAATTTATACTTACAAATTTTAATTTCAAACTCAATTTCTTAATTTTTTGAGGAAAAATGCTTCTTAAAGTAAATAAATTTACTAACATAACAATTTTAGCTGTAAAAATAATGAAAAGCCTACCAACACTAAGCAGAGAGAATGTATTCTCACCTGCACTCATTGCAAATGGCTGGTTCACATTTGTCAATTACACACTATTTAAAGAAAGCAAGATTTGTCCTTTAGTGCTTACAGATTTGCAAGGCACTAAATCAGATCCAAAATGAAAGGACATATTTGATATTATGGTAGGGAAGGGAGAGGTCAGTTAATGTAACAAGAAAGTTTTGTTTTAAACAAAAGATTGTCTAAAGGTTCTTAATAGTCCTAGTTTAAGAGAGTAAGAAAAAGTCACCCTAGACACACAGTGAAAGCATTTATAAAACAAACAGAGAAGGAAAGACACTTGCAAAATCTTCCTTGCAAAATCTTCCTTAAATTCTGGACTTCCAGATTTTAAATATTTGTCACCTTTTCTGAAGCCACTTGGCATATTCTTAGAGCAGCAATTTTTGTTTGTGGTGTAGTAACCTTAAAGAAAGATATGAAGTTACCCTAACTCAGGGAGATGCATATCACTCAGAGTCTATCTCATTTAGGCCACAGAACTAGGTCCCTAGTACAGTCATGTCACTCCATGCATGAAGAGATCTTTCATGAGGTGTAACCAGCAGAAAACAGGACTGATCACTGATCTAAAAAAGGATAGGTAAATAAAGATGAAATGTAAGATGGTTCGTCTCTAATTTCTACCATTCAAAAAGAAATATATTCTGACAAAAAAATCTTCACAAAAAGCACATGTACACACACTCACAAATATTTAAAAATAAAAACCAGACCAAGATTGAATTGAAAATCTACATGAAAAGTTTGCCAATAGTTGCCATTGAGGCGGTATGATTTGTGGGTAGCTTTGGGTGACTACCCAGATGACACCTTCCCCCATGCTGTAACTGCAAATTCTGTTTCAATTCCCTTACCTGAGCTTTCACTCTGCTTTCTTACAGTCCTGAAAAATGTTCTACTAAATACAGCAAGTACATACATAGCCTAGATGAACTATAATTAACGTGGCAAGAAACCAAGGAAAAGAGCAGGCAGTATTAGTTCAATGATTTCTTTAGCATGGGTAGCAGATGGGACTCCAAAATCTAATAACCCTTTTGTACTTCAGCTAAGGCCGACAATACATCATTATACTCAGATGTGAGCA